ATCTGCCCTTGTTTTTTCTTTTTGTTTTTCTTTTTATTTTTATTTTTGCATGTTATCACTGTGCCCGTTTTTTTCTTTTATTCTTTGTTCCGCAAAGTGCGCTCTTTTAGTTTGTAGTGATGTGACAATATATATATATGTATATGAAACTCCGACGAAACAGTTTGTCACAGCCCCTCGTTTGTTGTCCTCTTCTCTCTCTCTGCCTACGGTTTACCGGGCAGTTCTATTTGTGACGATATATATATATAGAAGTGCAAAAAACTTTGAGAAAGTGCTTTTCCCAATTCTTCTGGCATTCAGGAAAACTTACGGTGTCACGCCGTCACCAAACTTCCGCTACTGCACTTGATTTCTTCTCAATTCTTCTCAATTTCCTATCAATTTCTTCTCAATTTCTTCTCAATTTCCTCTAAACTTATTTTGTCCATCTCAATTCAGGAAAACTTACGGTGTCACCAACTTCCCAATCGCGATTTAGGTCGCCATAGCACCCACTAGACTTCTTCTTGAATCTCGATTTAGATGAAGCAGTTTGTGAAACCTTCACTACCTTTCTCAGTGTTGGGAAAAATGGGAATATATGTCACACACGGACTCACACCACATTTTTCGGGGGTACTGCGGACGGCGCGGAGGCTTGGCAGGAAAGGAAAAAAAAAAAAAAAAAGATCGGGACCCTATGGGCTCACTGTGAGAAAAAAATGAAACGAAAAACTGAGAACTTCGAATCCAACGACTTCAGGGGGGAAGGCCCTCACGGAGGTGGAAGTCACAGCAGTACTTTGAGGAATGTATCTGGTCAGTATGTGTGGAACCGTTCCACTGGAACGTGATTGCTGTTGTTTGTTTGTTTTTCCTTCTTGTCATTTCCTGTTGTTGCCTTGCCACCGAGGCAGGGCGTATTCCACACGGGGCAACTAACTGCCTCACTCACCTCGCACTCACATTAGTACAGTAGCATCCCGTATCGTACCACAATCACAGCGTAAGTGTTTCTTGTTCTTCATCTGTTCTTCATTAGACAGATGCCCGCACTGAGGGCGCAGTCTCACTATCTGATGATTATCACGGCGTTAGGGAAGTTTATCTTTTTCACTTCTTGTTCTTTTTTGGATGCAACTGCTGTGAGTACCAGAAAAGGAAAAAAATTGAATGGGACCCAGGCTCGGCAAAACTCGGTGCGCAGTGAAATTCAGGGTCAGTAAAAACAGGATCGGAGGTAGTGGTGGACCTGGTGGTTAAAAAAAAAGACAGACGCCTTTGTTTTCTTTCGTTCATTGCAGTGGAGTCTAGTCGTGATGGCACTAGATATGTTCTCAATTGCTTTTGTCCATTGCAGTGGAGTCTGGTTCATCAGATGCATGAAATGGAAAAAAAAAAAAAAAAAAAAAAAAAAAAAAAAAAAAAAAAAAAAAAAAAAAAGAAAGTGCTTTGCAAGCCGCGGAGGTTCTCCGCGCTCTGATCGGAGCAGGTCGCCTATGAGATGGATGTCCACCAAAGGTGTGGAAACACTGCAAAGTTGAGGCTGCCAGAGGCGAGAGATCGCCTGTTTTGGTCGCTTGTTGCTGTTTGCCTAGCTCAGTTCGCTCTGGTCTGATTTTCAGCAGGTTTGTCTGGTGACTCTTGTCTGCTCTTGTCTGATTTGCTTTGGCAGCGTAAGCTGCGATTGATTTGGCTCGGAGTGTTTGGTTGGGCCGGGTTTGGTATCCACAATTTTCAGTTGGTTTGTTGGGATTGCTCTGGCCTGATGTATGCTTTGGCAGGGTATGCTTTTGGGAAGTTTTGTCTACCGCCTGTTTGTTTGGCGTGTATCGAAACAGCAAAGTGACATTCGATAAGATAGATGACGACCGCCGAAACGAAAGCACACAGATGTAAAGAAAAGGCAAAGGAGAAGAAAGTAGCAAAATTTTGTTTTTCCATGTGGGGTAATGTACTTTAGGCAAAATAGGAGGAGTTGTTATCTGCTAGGACCTTTCTCGTTACTCATGATATATATGTCAGGTTGTACCATGTGAGCTGAGATGAAAGGATGAAGCAGGGCAAGCTGACAGTCAATCCTCCGCGATGTTGGAGCAATCAATGCTGGTCAGGGGTCCTTCGGCCAGACGGAAGGAAGCGTGAGTGAGTATTTTTGATATATCTTTTATTATGAAAAAAGAAAAAAGAAAAAAAAAAGAAAAGAAAAAAAAAAAAGAAAAGAAGAAAGAAGAAAGGAAAAATCAAGATTGTAAAAAAATCTCGAACGCGACTTGCATGGAGTTTTAAAAAAACATCTCGAGCAGACTCCTAGCAAAACGGACGTGTAGCATCCATGTGGCGTACAACCGTACTGGTTTGAACGCGTCGCTGTACCTGTCTCATCATGGATGGCTTGTTGCGGATTGCCTAGCGTGGTTTGGTTTTGCTTGGCATGCTCTTCTTTGGTTTGATTTGCCTTTGTTTGGCAGCATGTGGTGTTTGTTTGTTTAGTTTCAGTCGTGGTTTGGTTGGCTCGGTTTCATTTGTCTGGTTTGGTTGGCTCGGTTTCATTTGTCTGGTTTTGGTTTTGCAGTCGGTGTAGTCTTTGTCTCAGGCTCCCGCGCACCGACGGATGGATTTTGGTGTCTGTGTGCTGCTCTCTATGTCACCATGCAGGATTTGCGGCGCACAGGGTCTGCTCATGTGACGTTGAATCGTTTGTTGGAGGTGGGCTTATAACAGTCAGTTCTTGCCGCTGCATCACCTTCTCCCAGGCTTGGCTTGGCTTGGCTTGGCTTGGCTTGGCTTGGCTTGGCTTGGCTTGGCTTGCTAGCAGAGAACTTGTTGCTGGATATTGCATCTTTTTGACTCTGAAGGTACACAATTAACCAAGTATTTTTATGAGAGGAGCAAAGGTCACTGCGGGTGAGTGGAGGGAGGGAGGGAGGGAGGGAGGGATTGTAAAGCTGCCTGGTTTGGGGTGTTTTGTGGATGGGGAGGGGACCTAGAGTTGAGTTTGCACTTCCAGGTTGTAATCCACTACTGCGCTGCATCCCTTGCGAGAACTGTGCCACTGAACATCCAGCCGTCGGGTCTGTTCAGCGAACCTGCAATGGTTCAGGCGTCCATCCACAATCGGGCAGAAATGAGGCTCAGCGAAACAGCTTTGGGCACCGTCGTGGTTTAGACTGAATTTCAGTGGAGACAGTTGGTGGCAACGCTGGATGTCACAAAGTGGATCGAGCGCATGCGTTTTTCTGTTTTCGTTTTTTTCTTCTTTTTTCTTCTTTTTTCTTCTTTTTCGTTTCTTTTAAGCGGATGTGGCCATGGTTCATTCGATCGAGGAAAGGTAGGGTACCAGACCTAATGTGTTGAAAAGAAGGCCAG